ATCTGTTGCCCAGGCTGGAGTGCAGTGGCATGCTCATGGTCACTGCAGCCTTAACCTGCTGGGTTCAGGTGATCCTTTTGCCTCAGCCTTCCAAGTAGCTGGAACCATAGGTACATGCCACCACACCCAGCTAATTTTTTGATTTATTGTAGAGACAAAAATCTCGCCAAGTTGCCCAGGCTGGTCTTGAACCCCTGGATTCGGGCAATCCTCTCGCCTCTGCCTCCCAAAGTGCTGAGATTACAGGCATGAGCCACCGTGCCCACCAAAAGCAGATTTTAATGCATGACGAAGAAGAGAGAATGAGGGCATTAGGTGCCTACAAGAGGAGGTGGAAAATGCAGGGGGACTTGCACTTCTAGTCACTTAGATTCTCCCTCTAGGCCTCCATTCTTCTGTTAGTCAGATCAGAATAGAAATAACATTGCTGGCCCAACGTGGTGGCTCATGCCTGTAATCCCAGCACTTTGGGAGGCAGAAACAGGAAGATCATTTGAGCCCGGGAGTTTGAGACCTGCCTGGGCAATACACCGAAACCTCGTTTCTACAAAAAATTAAGAAATTAGCCATGTGGTAGCACGTGCTTATAGTCCCAGCTACTCGAGAGACTGAAGCTGAAGGATTGTCTGAGCCCAGAAGGTCGAGGCTGAGGTGAACCGTGATGGTGCCACTGCCCTCTGGTCTGGGCAATGGAGTGAGGCCCTGACTCAAAACAACAACAACAACAGCAGCAAAGAAATAACATTGTCTGTCTGTGGGGTGATCCTAGGTAGTAGAGAGTAGTTAAATGATACCACCTGGCTGGGCTCGGTGACTCAGCCTGTAATCCCAGCACTTTGGGAGGCTGAGGTGAGTGGATTGCCTGAGCCTGCGGGTTTGAGACCCGCCTGGGCAACTTGACGAGACCTCACCTCTACAATAAATCAAAAATTAGCCGGGCGTGGTAGTGCGCGCCTGTAGTTCCAGCTACTTGGAAGGCTGAGGTGGAAGGATCACCGGAACCCAGCA